TATAAAGTGCTGGTTGTGATGTTTAGGAAGCTGTGCAACATCATTGTTTCGTAACTTTATCTAGAGTGAACTCACGTGGGGTTCATGCAGGCTCTGCCTTGAAGTCTTCACCTCTGAAACATCAAGTGACCAGAGGGAGGATTGCATGAGTGTGCCCTAGACGGTTTCTCGTTCAACGTGCCGTCTACGGTAGGGTTGCCTACTGTGTTGAACCCTGATCGGTTCAGAAAAGGCCTTAAGACCTCCAATCTGAAAGGTTCAGGCTCTGTCTTTATGCTTGGGACTCTGAAACAGTCCAACCCGACAGGAAAGCTGCGTGAATCACGCACCTGTCAGGCTTGAGATTCGAAAGGCTCGGAACTCCGTTCTGGCTGCGTTTTTTACAATTTATCCTCCCCATAAGCCTTTGTGAGGCCAGTCAGGTTCAAGTCTCCGTTGAGAAGCTAGCCAACTTCCCTCCATCATGTCCAGCTCATGGTGGAAACAGTCGGAGTGGGAACCTTCGTCGTCTTGGCGTTGGCATTCGCAATCGTCTTGGGATGAGCAAGATCAACCTTGGGCAGCCACTACCAAGCCGGCCGTGCCTGAGAATGTTCCAGCTCCCAAGCCTAAGTTGTCTGACCACTTTCAATCCGACGACAAGTTCTTTGATCGGCAACCAGTCGGCAAAGGGTCGCATCAGCTGTTTCGTCATGTTCAGCCTACGGAATGGTCACGAAAGAATTCGTTGGCCGGTAGGCCCGTAGAAGACATTCGAGCATGGGAACTCAGCCACCGTGGTCTTTCTGAGTTCTCCTTTCGCCTCCTTAGTGAAGGCCGATACCAAGGAATTGTTTGGACAAGGTCCACATCCGAAGCAGTGTTTCTTACCCAACTTTTGAAGAGAATGAGAGAAGTTGGTGTAGATATCGATGAAGTCGCCAGAACCTTTCACACCGACAGCCCACCTGACAAGCACAAGGATGCTTCCAAGTTCATGGGCAAAATGTGTGAATCCATTGTTGACGATCTCAAGAAGAGAGCACCTATTGTTGACTCTACTGCCAGTGAAGAGTTGGCCCGGGCTAAAGCAAAGCTTGCCCAAGCGGGCCTTACACTTACTCCGACTAAGAGATCTGCTGAAGACGAGCCTGAGAATGCACCACTTCGGGCCAAGCCGAAGGCTAAAGCCAAGCAAGAACTTGGGCAAAGCCGCCCTTCTTCACTCGATGCCCAGACGTTACTGCAGTTTCCTCCGGCTCGAATTTTGGATTCTCGACCTGTTGGTCCGAAGGATGAACAAGTTGAAGAATGGCTTCAAACTTTTAAGTCCAAGCCAGATTTCAAAGGTCAGTTTGCCAATTTGAAGAAGCATGTTTTGGCAGTGCAGAAGATCTTTGAGAGTGGAACTCCCAAAGCCACCATCACAGCAGCGGCGGTTAAGTTTGGTCTAGATGACAAGATTGCGAGTCGTCTGACCATTCGCAACCTTTCGACCACCATTGCGGTTGCTCAGTTCACGGCAGCTTGACTAGCCTATGAAGCCCTTTCGATGGCTCATCGTGATAGGCCGCGTTTGAAGCAGGACATCTGTGTTGTTGGAGAGGCTTGCACCTTCTTCATACATCATTGTCCTGAGTTTTCCAAAGCTCCTTCTATGTGGGCGCAAGGATTGCTACATCTTTGCTTGTTGTTTTGTTTCTCCGATTCGACTCAGCAATCTTGCGCAGAGCTACTCAGACGTAAGCTACGTGCACTCAAAGTGCACCCTGCGATGTACACATGGCCACGTTTTTTGAAGTCCAACGCCGTGTACATCAAAACCAAAGTCGATTGGCGCATCTTTTCAACTGTTGAGAAATATCGGCAGCCTTCGACTATGATGTACGTAGGGTCCACCAGCATATCAGTTTCGCGTCGGGAGTCCAATAGGCTTTCCGTGTACAGGAAGCTTGTTAAAGGACAGGAAGCGCAGGCTGAGTTGGCCCTTCGATATTGGGCCTCCAATCAGTCTATTGAACAATTTACAATTTTTCAGGTTGCCACATGTTCGGATTATCAATCCGCGTGGGTTTTGGAGCATTGCCTCATTGATGCGTGGCAACCAAAACTCAATTTTCCGTTCATTCAGTCCTTTCTGAAACGCTCCGCGCTGGGCTTTAAGCCAAGCAGACAAAGAAGAATGTCGTCGTACAGCAAGTTTGGCAGAAGATTGTGGGTGAAGCTGCGAAAGAAGCTCTTTACCCAAGACCAACCTTACGCCTTCCAACTGTCTAGGCTGAAAGCCTGGAACATTTTGTATGATCTCACCAGCCTTTCCAGAGCCTCGTTTGAGAGAGCGAGACAACTCCGGTCTCAATCGTTTGTTGATGATGAGATTTACTCGCTCATAAGACTCAGTGCCAATCTTCAGGAACCTTTGCGAAGCAAAGCACGCATGATTCTGAAGTCTGTGGCCGGCTATCGTAACATGACATGGCCGAAAGGATCTTTAGGGATCCAGTTGCAGTTTACTGCTGATGAAAGGTTTCCACAAAGGATGTCAAAATGGCTCCGGTCGGTTATAATTCGGTTTAAGCATGTGCTTGTTCCGTTTCACTTACCGTCTGCGTCAGTTCGAGAAAAGCCACATCAGAGTCTCAAAGACTTCCTTCACAATGTCCAGCAATGGGATATGTGGCTCCAACATAATTCGTTTGAAGAAATTCCGTGCACCTGTCAGTTCTACAAGCGTGTTCTTCCAGATGAATGTTTCACGTCTGGGCATGTAACAGCCGGACTTGAGATGTTGAACCAACTGCATCCAGCATGCAGTCGTTTGGGAACAGGAAGCGCGTCTTCCACCTTCTTTCCAGCTAAGCACAAATTCGTTTCGGTTAACTGCAAGACGTTTCACCTCTGGAGAAAGAAGCATGGCATACCGGTCAACGTTGAGACCGAATTTCAGGCTATGCTTGAAGAAGAATGGTACTGGCACAACGTGGCACTTAAAAGCTTTCCTCGTCTCACATGGGCAGATGTTTCTGCCGTCAGGAAGCGTTTGCGTCGGGAGTTTGTTGTGCATTGTGAGGACCACGAGCCCAATCATGTGATGGTATTTTGTCCTCAGTTTTACTTTCAGTCGGCCAGATGTACTTGGGATGATCCCGAGGTTTTTCACAATCTCGATGGAGACCCAGAGTCCTGGAGACAATGGGTTCTTCAACAAGTGCCAGGCTACCTTCGAAAGAAGTATCCCTGGGCCATTGATAGCAAAGGCAAGTTACCAAATGGGTTTGTTTTCTTGAAAAGGAAGAAGAAGTTCGCCAAAGGCAGAACTATCATTTCCTATTCGTTTACCCCGTTCAGTCGACTGTTGAAAGCCGCGTCCCACGCTATTGTCCTCATGATTAAAGTTACATGGGACAGAGCATTTGGACTTGAACCTACTCCCATTATTTGGCAGAGATTGCATGAGTTCTTTAAAAGAACTCCTGCAGAATCTCACCTGCTGGAAGTCAATGATGATCTTGTCGGTTTCTTTAATTCGGTGCCAAGAGAACAGATTCTTCATTCTCTTGATGCTTTGATTTCGAAGTATTTGTCTTTGGGATATCCTCCTGATATCACGGTGTCGCTTAAGAAGGCTGTCTGTACAGAAACAGCCTGGCCGGGAAAACCCAAAGGAAAGTCGACCAAACAGGTCAAGTTCCTTAGGGTCCAAGACCTCCCAGACATTGTCCAGTTGTCTTTTCGCGCCGGCGTTTTTCAGGCCATTGGTCGCATTTTCAAACAGCACCGGGGTACGTGTATAGGAAATCAAATCAGCCCAGTGCTCAGCAGTCTCCCAGTTATACAGCGGGAACTGTTTTGGCAGCAAGAGTGGGATTTTCAGCTCACCTCCTGCAAGTTCTTTGAAAGACAAGCATCACAAGCGTTTGTCTGCCGATACGTTGATAATCGACTTCTTATTTGTACAGAACAAGAAGTTAATCTTCAGTGCTTTCGTGATTTCAAACATTTGTCTTTTTATGGGTCGACCATCCAGCTCGAGCCGGTTGATGATCATCACTTTCTGGGCTTCGACATTTCTGCTTCTAACCGGACTGTCACTTTTAAACAGCCGGTTAAGCCCTGGAAACTTAGGCATGTGTCCAGCGCAGGTTCGTGGTCAGCTCGGGCATCAGGCTTCTTTTCTCGTAAAGCCCTGATTGTACAGTTTGCGTGGCCACCGTCCTCGCGCAAACAGCAAGTCGAACATCTGCGCAATTTGTATTTGCGCCAGGGATTTCCGTTGCGAGTCTTGCAGTGAAAATGTAAATCTGTCTGCGCAGTTCAGTTACATGTTTGCCCTCTGCCAGGGTGCATCTCTGTACACGCATCTTTCAAAATTCCTTCACTTCAGGATCAAGTTGTAGACTTTGCTTCGAGCATTCTTTCGCCATGTCCTATGTCTTCCATTTTCATTGTGGAAGCAATGAGAACAGCCCTGCAGCCAGCGTGCAATCGTCAAACTCGGCGAGGCCGCCTGCGCTAACGGCCAGACCCTGGATGGCTGAAAGCCCTCCAGCCCCACCGCCCCCCAGACCCAGATGCCAGTTCTTTTCACCCTTTCAAGACATCACCTTCAAGGCCAAATCAGACCATCGGTCTAGATCCAGGTCAAGGTCCGTCAGGCGGCGACATAGAGCGCGACCTTCCCACAGAGAACCGCCTTCTGTGGAAATCCCGCCAGGTGATTTTTCGGAAGCACATATTCCTCAGCAAGCGTGGCTGCGACAGCCAGCGCAACCCAGAGTTCTTCAGCCACCGGCATCGCCATTTTTCCCCCCGCTGCCGAAGCAACCGCCCCCGCTGCCAGTGCCACAGGTTGGCCCTCCTGGCGATTTCGGCTTTCTAGGCTACTGGCCAGCGCCCCCATTGTTTCACCCGCCGCCCCTGCTACCTGCCCCGCCTGTGCAGCAACAACCAGTTCATCAATTTCCTGCGCGGCATGTTTATCAGTGGCATCCTCCTGCACGCAACCCTGCGGTCCCTCCTGCAGGTGTTCCAACGCCCGCAGCGCAGCCATTCTTGCAGCCGCCCTGCCCGAGCCGTGGAGTCAGAAACCCTCAGCAGCCTGTGACCCCTCCCAAAAAAGGTGCTACATCTGGCCGTGAAGCAACAGGTCAGCTCATTCGCAAAGACTCCCGTTTCGATCTTGCAGCTTTTACCTCACAGAAGCTGTCTCAAACCAACAAGTCAGCAGCACAGGCAGGAGAACTCACGGCAGCCGAGAACCAGCTTTTCAAGGATGTCATGCAAGCCTCTGCGCTGGAGTTGGAAGATCAGATCGCGGGACGAGATCCCCGTGACACATTCGTAGTCGAAGAGCCGCTCACGCTTTTTTTGGATTACTGCTTCTTGATCTACCAGACCAAAGCTCTCAGAAGCTCTGATGCTTGGTTGCTGTACACCAGATCTCAGTCTCAATGTGGGACAGGGCGTAAGCAAGCCGCAAGAATGTGGGTCCGAGAATGGCAGCTTTGCACCAACACTGACATTCGTCAAATTTTGGACTTCTTGCTTTCTCGTTTTCCGGAAGGGCTCCCCCCAAATTCGGTGGACTCACAGACCCTTCGGAAATTTTGTCAGATGCTTTGGAGTTCCAAGTGCCCAATCTTTGATACGTTTCGAGCAGAAGCAAGCACTTTTTCCTCTCCTGCGGCTGAAAGTAGTGTGCTTGTGTTTCCAGTGGCTGGTTTTCCTGGGCCGCCTCCGTCGCCCGATCAGTGGTATCAATGGGCACATGGCACTGATAGCGCCGGAGCCATTGGAATTTTATCGTCGGGGAGAATTCTGCCTACTGCAAAGCAGACCCTCCATCTGAAACCCCCGCAAAGCAGTTGGTCATTTTTCTGTAAAGTACTGACCACGCCTGATTGGGAGGAAGCTCGCAACGAATTTGTGAGCAACATGCATTGGTCCACAAAGAACAGTTGCGGAGTGGTATTTTCAGGCAGAGTCGGAGGCGCAGCCCATAAGGCTCAGGGTGCTAACACAGTTTTGGAAAATGCTTTGGGCAGGTTTCACCCAGTTGTGCATTCACCGTCTAAGACGGACAAGAGGTGGTGCGTCAGAACAACTGCGGCCCGTATAGACGTCATCTATATCGTTTCCAGCATGCACTCGTTGGATTTTCCGTTCGAGCCTTCCTTGGCTTCCAAGAAGTCCAACAAGCCATTGGATGACCCTATCGGTCTCCCTCTCGCAATCCAAGACGCTGGAATTGATGATAGCTGGGGCAAGTGGCTTCCCCAAGGCTCCTCCGAAGCATCCCAGCAAGTTCCTCCAGCAGCGAATTCAGCCATGGTAGCAGAAATTCCTGCTACAGATGAAGAGCCTGATTTGATGGCTAGCTTTCACTCGTTTCAAGAATCCTGATCCTGCAATTTGGCTTCGCCGCTGTCTGTGCCAAAACGTATCGCCTGTTTTTTGTAGTCGCGTGCGTGTGTTGCTTGTTCAGTCAGTGCATGAGCAGCTTTCTGAGCTCAGTTCAATATCAGATCAAGATCGTCATATTTGAGGTCGTTTTCCAGATCTGTTCGACCGTACCGATAGAGCCCATATTAACGTTGCTGCGTTCGGGTGGACCCGGCGTAGGGGGGTGGGGTGGTTGACAGGCGCTGCCGTGTCTTCGGCCCGCGGCCTCGGCTAGCTGTACTCGGGTGTACCCGGTGCAGAGGGGGAGGGGCGGTTGACGGGCATGGCTGCGTCTTCCGCCCGCGACCTCGAGTGTGAGGGAGTGCTCGTCACTGTAAGACGTGCCAATGTTCGATGTTTGGCGGTCTCTTGAGTCCTAAAAGGATGTTTTGACCTGCAGTCACGAGCCTACTGCCCAATTCCAGCCGGCGTCTGACGCTGGTGAATTTGGCGTCCGTGACACGCATGAACCGCACCTAGTTGCTCCCAGATAGGGCTTGTGCCGCCCTCACAAGTAGCGGTGGTCTTCGAACGACTTGTCCCTTTGAGGGCGACCGATATCCAAATCTCCGATGAGTTCGGTGTCGAGTTTGCCTCGTGCTTTTTTTCGCAGCCATTGTTGTCCAACCTCCGGTGATACTTATGTTGGCTGCCTCCTGAAAAGGTTTCTCCCTTGCTCGTTGGGCAACGTCGAATTTCGTGTTCATGTCAAGGATCGATGTTGCGCATATAAAAGCATATGCTTACCCTGCTTCGGCAGGGTGTGTGTGGGGAAAGCCTGTTACCAAGGTCGTAATGCAGCTGCCTCCGTTGTGCGTTTCAGCTTCTCACCTTTTCATTTTGAATGCGCAGGGGCGTCAGGCCCAATGCACCTACCTGACGCAACGAAGCTACGGTGCATTGGGGGATGGGTGGTCTGATCAACCACCTGTACCTGCCTTCTAACAAGATATAAAGTGCTGGTTGTGATGTTTAGGAAGCTGTGCAACATCATTGTTTCGTAACTTTATCTAGAGTGAACTCACGTGGGGTTCATGCAGGCTCTGCCTTGAAGTCTTCACCTCTGAAACATCAAGTGACCAGAGGGAGGATTGCATGAGTGTGTGTGTGTGTGCGTGTGTGTGTGTGTGTGTGTGTGTGTGTGTGGGTGTGCGTGTGCGTGTGCGTGTGCGTGTGTGTGTGTGTGTGTGTGTGTGTGTGTGTGTGTGTGCGCGTGCGCGTGCGGGTGCGGGTGCGGGTGCGGGCGCGTGTGCGCGTGTGCGCGTGTGTGCGTGTGTGCGTGTGTGCGGCTGTGCGGCTGTGCGGCTGTGCGGCTGTGCGGCTGTGCGGCTGTGCGGCTGTGCGGCTGTGCGGCTGTGCGGCTGTGCGGCTGTGCGGCTGTGCGGCTGTGCGGCTGTGCGGCTGTGCGGCTGTGCGGCTGTGCGGCTGGTGTGCGGGTGTGCGGGTGTGCGGGTGTGCGGGTGTGCGGGTGTGCGGGTGTGCGGGTGTGCGGGTGTGCGGGTGTGCGGGTGTGCGGGTGTGCGGGTGTGTGGGTGTGCGGGTGTGTGGGTGTGTGGGTGTGTGGGTGTGTGGGTGTGTGGGTGTGTGGGTGTGTGGGTGTGTGGGTGTGTGGGTGTGTGGCGTGTTTGCGTGTGTGCCGGTGTGCGTGTGGTGCGTGTGTGGCGTGTTGGTGCCGTGGGTGCGTGTTGGTGTCGTGGTGTGCGTGTGTGCGTGTGTGCGTGGGTGCGTGGGTCGTGGGTGCGTGGGGTGCGTGGGTGCGTTGGGTCGTGGGTCGTGGGTGCGTGGGTGCGTGGGTGCGGCTCGTGCGTGCGTGCGTGCGTGCGTGGGTGCTTGGGTGCGTGGGTGCGTGGGTGCGTGGGTGCGTGGGTGCGTGGGTGCGTGGGTGCGTGGGTGCGTGGGTGCGTGGGTGCGTGGGTGCGTGGGTGCGTGGGTGCGTGGGTGCGTGGGTGCGTGGGTGCGTGGGTGCGTGGGTGGGTGTGTGTGGGTGTGTGTGGGTGTGTGTGTGCGCGTGTGTGCGCGTGTGTGCGCGTGTGTGCGCGTGTGTGCGCGTGTGTGCGCGTGTGTGCGCGTGTGTGCGCGGGTGTGCGCGTGTGTGCGCGGGTGTGCGCGGGTGTGCGCGGGTGTGCGCGGGTGTGCGCGGGTGTGCGCGGGTGTGCGCGGGTGTGCGCGGGTGTGCGCGGGTGTGCGCGGGCGCGTGTGTGTGTGTGTGTGTGTGTGTGTGTGTGTGTGTGTGTGTGTGTGTGTGTGTGTGTGTGTGTGTGTGTGTGTGTGT